TTAAAGTGGGACCTATATCCATGCTTATTTATTTTTTTAAAGATAAGGTCACCAAACACATTATCCTTCACTGAAATTATACTCGTATTCACTCCCCGCAAATAAGTAAATATAAGCAGTTAGTGGTGCTGCTCTTACTATGAGATATGAAATGGAAATAAACACCATCAGAAGTACAAATACCTGGGTTTTAACTCTGTGACATTTGCCAAGTTATAAACCTCAACTTTCTTCTTAAAATAGCAATAGTACACTTATTACCACTATACTCAAATAGGTCCTGAAAATTGTTTTGTAAATTCGAACGTTCGTTTTATTATAGATTTAGCTGTTTTGCCTCAAAGTGGAAGTACATTTTGCTGCAGCTTAAAGCCAAGTTCCGCGTGGTTCTCCCCACTTCAGGGCTCTTGAGTTTAGGGGCCTCAGCTTTGCAGGTTCCAAGTCGCGTTTGGCCGTGTACCAGGAGCTAGACATACGCTAGTCATGGTATTAAGTAACTGGCATGTAAACACTAAGCCACGAGTTTACTTGAGAGGGTTGTGACCCATATATCCAGAGCCACTCCCTTCCCGGAATCAGACACCCAAGAAGCCAAGAGTCATCAGAAAAGTATTGTGGGTATGAATTCAGAGCAAACAGAGGCAAACTGTTTTGAGATTTTTTTTTTCCCCAGAGTTAAGCCTTATTAAATATTCCTTTGCACAGTGAGGGGCTCCTGCATAGATTAAAACTGTTCCTTTTTTCCCCCCAGGTTCCAGTTCCTTCTGGCTGGAAGGTGCTGGTTACACACTATCAGTTCTGCCTCTTCCACTCCATGGATTTGGGCTTTTCTTGGCCACCAGCCTTGTATTATCCCACATACAGTTGTGTTTCAGCTTAATACCATCTTGTCTACAGTCAAGTCTTATTTTATCCATGGACTTATTTTGTCTAAGAAGTGTTTGTATATATGGTGATCTCATTCATCATATGCTGACTTTATGAGAAAACTCGATGCTCTGCCAAGATTCCTCACTCCTTGGTTCCACGGGACCGCCCTCATGGATGAGATCTATTCTGGCTCTCCCCGAAGCCCTCAGCACAGTGGGCTGGTAATATAGTTCCTGTTTCCCTCCAGATTTTCTCAGTTGCACTCGTAGTCCACATCACTGCCTTTCAAAGCACGTGGATGAAGGTGAACTGGCCTCAGCGATAATCGGTTTCCTCCTGTTTGACCAGATCCCCAATACCTTGTGTACTTCCTAGTTTTTAATTCACCTCCTCCACAGGAAAGGCCATTTGTAGATGGGAATCCCATCCTCCTTCTCCTAAAGACCAACACGAATACTGGCTGAGGATTTTCAGAGGTGAAAACATCTGAGGATAAAGTAGTTATAGTACATTGGAAAAAAATACTAGACTTGCACCTGGATGAGTGTGTATGTGTGCGATGGAAGGTAGACGAGAAGGAAAAGCATGAGTTGTGAACAGGCAGGACTGTATGTACCCGCCTTCCCTTCCATCATGTGGTCTCTCCGCGTGACCAAGGGTCTCAAGTTCTGGATTTGTGCCCCAGCTCTGTCACTTTTCAATTGTATGGCCTTGAACAGCTTAGACCTTTCCTCATTGAAAAAGGATAATACATACTTCACTTTTTGGGCAGAACTAATGGAAGAAGAGTATTAAAGCATTTTATATACAAAAAAGCAGTCTGCGTATTATCACAGTGGAACGTGGATTGTGTTTTACACTCAAATATGGTGAAATTTGTAAGTAGGTAGAGTTCACTGTGGCCTGGAAGAATTTTAAAAAGCTCTGCCCATAAGGACCTTGGGTTGCCTTTAATCTCAGGAGTGCACAGAGGCCACTGGGAACGAAGGGGAACGTTCAGGGAAGGAGCCAAGCACAGGCAGAGGCATGGCGCCGTGGTGGGCACAGGACTGGCATCCGTAGGGGCACCGCCGGAGCTCGGTGGCAGGACAGGTGAAGGGCCTACGTTCAAAGTGGTGGCCGTGAGGTGAGGAAAAGGACAAATCTGAATGCTGAGAGGCTTTGCTTACGAAGGACTGGCAGGACCTGGTGACTGGCTTAGGAGTGGGCAATGACAGGAGCAAGCAAAGATGCTCCCGAGTCTGTGCCCAGAGAGGTAGTGGGAGACGGGGCCCCACAGACAGGAATGGGTGAGCGAGGAAGGCGCACCGGTAGGGAAGACACGAAGTGTGGATGCAGACGAGCTGACCTCAGGTAACTGGGCTCCAGCTGAAAGGGGGGCATTTCTACCTCACATGGCAAAACCTGAGTTACTCCGTAACACTCCAGTAACGCTGCGGGCAGGGGAAGACCCCCCACGGGTATTCTAAGCTCAAATACTCACGAAGACCCACTGCTCCGTTCCTCTGAGGGGAGCAAATGCCGCTGGCCTCCACTCTAGGACCACTTACCGCGACTGAATTTAGGGGAAAGCCTTCTAGCTTTTGTCTTGCTGAAAACAAATTCTTTTGCCTCATTTCAGTGATGAAGGGGAAAGCAGGCTCTCTCAGAATAAAGAGGATGCACGAGCAGCGCTGGTTCTTCCATGAACTCATTTCAGGTAAATCGTTCCCTGAGAAAGGGGCAGTCCAGTCAAGGCTGGGCACGTTCGGTTTCCTTTCTCGAATTCCCCCATTTTACTTGAAGAGCTTTCCAGCAGGATCAAGTATATAAATAACTAGCAATACCACCAGATGACACATGAGAACTATAAAATACCTTACGTTCATTCAGCTTTGTCCTGGCCTAGTAGGCACCTTGCCACAGGCTGTGGATTTACCTGAGCATTGATCCTAAATTTCACGTTCCTGTAGCATTTCTCCATCTGAGGACAGAGGCATGGCCTGCATGTCTAATCCTCTCCTCCGAAATTCTGACCAATACAGAGGTGGAGGGTGTCTTTGGGGGTTTATGAGCGTGGCATCAAATTCTACTTCTAACGAGCAACAGATGTCACTGTTGCTCATTAACTAGACATAGGAAGTTCTTTGGGGACAGCAGGGTCCTGGATGTGGAAAAACAAAACCTACTTATTCTAATTAATTCAACAAAGATTTATTGAACACCTACATGAACCAGGCACTAAGCCAGGCGCTTTGTATGAAAAAGATTACCGAGCCCACAGACCAGGGAGGAGAGGCACAGAAGCGACCATACACCAGCGCTTCAGGAACATGTCACAGTGAGCCAAGGAATCCAACTCTGAGTGAAAAACCTGCATACCATCTCCTTAAGGTAGGATATCATTTCCTCAGGGATACCTTTTTAAAAGTCCTCACCCAAGGACATTTTTTCATTACTCAGAATATCGATGTGAGAGAGAAGCATGGATCGGTTGCCTCCTGTTCATGCCTGGACTGGGGACCAAACCAGCAACCTAGGTATGTGTCCTGACTGGGAATCCAGCCCAGAACCTTCCAGTTACAGGACGATGCTCCAACCAACCGAGCCACACTGGCCAGGGCCTCAGCGATGCCGTTTGGCTCCAACCCTGCCTTAGGTCCCCCGGCCAGATGTTCCTGCTGCGTCTAGTATTCATCATGCTTTTGGTCATCCCGTATCTCATGCCAGCCTTCCCTGCTAGACGCGGCCGCAGGGGCAGGGCCCGTGTGTCTCCTGCGCTGATGCATTCCCAGGCTTAGCACGAGGTAACAGCAATGATTGACTGAGTTTGTTAATGCACCAGGCACTGTGCTCCTTCCATTCATCACTGCACTTAACCTTTCCAGCCACCCCAGGCCACTGACAGTCATTTCAGATGAGGAAACCATGGCAACTTGACTAGAAAGTGGCAGAACCATGACCCTGGGTCTGATTCGATAAAAGGTAGCATCACCTCCACCTCAGCTACTTTGATGAGCCCCCACAACCTGAGGCCAGCCTAGTCTTCCACCCTTCTTCGGGCAAGCAACCCACTCATTTTGTCTTGACCACGTAACGTGTACTACTGTCTCAACACCTCACGCAGGTATTTCCCTCTATCCTCTGGCATTTGTAAAGATCAATTTATCTCCAATTAGTATTTATTTATTTTCACAAAATCAATAATATACTCATCTATTAAAAAGACACTTCCGAAACTTGTTCCCAAATTTGTTCTTCTGCTTATCCTTTATGAAATAACTGTTAGGACTGCCTACAAGTATCTGTAACATCGGAAGCTGACTAAAGTTCCTAAGTACTAGCTTACAAATCACTGTCTCACAGACTCATATAATGATCTATAATGTAAGTAGGAGCATGGAACTGACCTAGACCAATCTCTCACGTCATAGCTAGGATTAGACTGAGAAAGCCTGATTTGGTCCGGGTTAAAGTAAGTGATAAGCCAAAACCACGCTCTGACCTCTCTCTAATATTACTTATGATGTGAACAAAACTAACACTACCTCTCCAGCATTAATTCCACAAAGCCCAACATTTCAGGTCTCTAACACCTGTTGGCGTCTACAACTTGACTATACAGGTTCCAGTCCCAGACCTACAACCTTCTCTAGCTATGTGACCTTGAATTAGTTACTTGAGCTGTTCAAGCCTCAGTCTCCTCCTCTGTGAAATGAGATCATAGCTCCTCGTGCTTAAGGGTTGCTAGGAAACTCAAACGACAGTATACCTGAAAAGCGCTTATAGTAGTGTGTAGCACACAGTGAATGCTCAGTAAATATTAGCCGTTATCCCTGTTTGGTAAATATTCTTTAACCGTGGTTCCTGCCACAGGTACAAAATGTTCTTTCTCTTTTCTGGGAGTTTGATGTTTATACTACTTTGAGGAATGATTTGTTCTTCCAAATGGAAATAAATACAAGACATTCGATGCATTCATTTACTTTAATAATACCACATTTACCATGTTATCACCATGGAATGTAAATTCAGGTTAGACAGGAGATTTTCCCAAGTGCAATAAAATCTTCTGTAGTACACAAAAGTTTGTGTATGATGTCTGGCCATAGCTTGCTCTTAAATCATTAATCACTCCCATTATAGGTAAATTGTTTAGTTTAACATTTGTATTTTTACAGAGAAAAACAAACACACTGCACATATTTAAAAATTGTTTTTCATTACCTTTGCATTAGCACTTAAGGTACATATTTCTATTTCAAGTGACATTTAAAAATTATTGTAATATAACAGCAGCAAAAATATAATTCTGCAATTACAAAATAGCTAAACTAGGATCCATAATTATGTTTACAAGTATGACTCTAAAATAAATACTACCTTATTGCAGCTGTTATCAGCATTTTAGGTTTGGTTTAGACACACACACGTTCAGTTGTGGGGAGGTTTGTAACTTTATATGCTATGCACTGTTCTGAAAGGGTTCTTTAAGAGCCAACCAGCCCTAAAAACTGAAGTACTTGTTCAGTTCACAAGGCAGGCACAAAAAAATTAACTGGGGCAAATAGGATTCCTATATAACATCAAAAGCATGTGATATTCTGCAGCAACTGGGGTACATCAGGATTGGCAGGATGTCTTCTTTAGAGCTAATTTCACCAAAAGAGATGAACAAGGTGGACATTTTACCACTATCAAGTACATTTAAAAGTGACATGTTTCTTATGTGTTAATTTGATTCCTCTGAATGACCTAGTTAGTGAACTAGTCACTAGTAATTTAGTCACCCAGCAAACCAAGCCTGCAAGAAAAAAGCCAATATTCCAATTACCATGTTCCTGTCTGACCCACTCAAACGATTTATTTTCAACATAAATATATAACCTCAATATGAGATCTCTAACTACAGCAAATACCACCAAGACCAAGACAGCATCTCTTCTTCTAAGGTTTAGGTTTCGCCCAGAATTCCTGATACATGGAATAGCCCATACCTAAAGAAAAAGAATGCTGGTTAAGCATTTAAATATTTTTTTCGATGTTAAGAAAATTAAAAACAGTTCATAAAATAGCTCAAAGTAGCACCTTTGTTGGCATGCAGTCTTTGCAAGGGGAACAAGACCGTGGGCTGCTCACACTCTAGCCTTCTCAAACAGTTTAAGTTTCTAAATTTATTTTTACAGTTTCCCAAGTAGCTTAAGGCTAGTATGACTAGCTCAGACTGTTCAGTATTTATCTGGCAACTTTAAAAGCTGTCACTCTTGCTAAATAATACCAGATAAAGTCAATGAATCATAAAGCCAATAAAAGCATCTAATACCTACATTTAAAAAAATCTTTTCCACCTTTAACTCAGTAAAGCAGCAATCATGTCTCTCCCAGATAATGGATCTCACTTCCAATCTAATGGCGTGTCTAGACTCTTCAGTGAAATCAGAAACTGAGTGATGGGCAGGATTGTCTTTTCTTTCTTTAAAACCTTAGTAAGATATACCAGGTGGGACAAAAGCAGGTTTACAGTTGTTCATATGGAAAATAGTACAATAATAAATAAATAATAAAAGAATAAACTGTGTTTTGCAAATTCACAGCTGTAAACCTACTTTTGCCCCACCCTGTATACAGACAGTAAAATTATGTCACTACTTGAACTATTTTTTATTCATTCACTTCTCCATGAAAATAAATGTGTTATTTGGAAACTGCTTCAAAATTAGCTTAAAGTATCTACATTGTTTTAGTAACAAAGAAATCCATTAGTGGGGAACGACAAATTGGAAATTTCCGTAGGAACCTACCAAGAGTCATCGCTCCCACAACAAAGCCTTGGGCTGCCACACGCATGTGGATCAGGTGGACGGACATCTTAGTGTTTCCCCTGCTCTTCAATTTATATAATCCATACGCGACAATCGCTGCAAAACCCGCCATTCCTGAGAAACAAATAGTCACAATTATGTCAGGTACATGGGGGCAGGGAACCAAAATGATTTTACTATCAATCAATGTACTTTCTACTGTTTTTATAAAAATGCTTTAAGAAACCATTCATTAGACAACATACACATCATGCTTTTAATCTCTCCCTGGAACCAAAAACCCAAAGATGGTAGCAAAAACCAGCAGATCCAGAAAGTTATAATCTTCAAAACATGGGGTTGTGAAGCCAGTAGACAAATGTTTGGAAGAGGGCTGGGGAACTCCTCCTTTCTGTCCTACTTCCCTCTTTGAAGGAAATCAATTAATGTAATAGAGGATGTAATAAACCATCACCGTGAGTAGAAGAGCTTTAAGAAAAGAGTCCTTCCAGCAAATCATTGAGACTAATAAGAGTAGTCTTGGGATCCCTCTACACACTCACTGAAATAAGAGTTACTAAAACGAGAAGTCTAAATACACACAGAAGAATTTTTATAATGAGAGTTATAGCATGCCAATTTCAGTATATTTCAATAACATTAAAAAGTCTGAAAATAATGCTTATGGATGAGCTTGATGAGTGAGTAGCTTACACTTTGATTGTGTTCCAGTATACAAACTGACTATTAGAATGTCAAAGTCAAACTTACCAACAGGGACAAACGGTGCCTCTTTAGCTTTTCGTATAAATTTAGATCCCTGACCTTCATCATATGAAGAAAGAGGAACATCTGTGTCAGTTGACATACTGATTGAAGAATCTTCCTGAAAGACAGTTACCATGAGGATCTGCAATTAGAAACAACTAGAACATTAAATGATGGGATATACTTAAAATAATCCTAGTTTCCATAAAAACCTGGGATATGCTCTTCATGAATTGTACAAAATATGTTTAGAAATCAATTGTATTTTTAATTCACAGCCACTTTCAGGGAGGGTTGTGTGTCTATCCTCTTGTTTTCTCATACATGTTTCTCCATACAACCAGTTCCTTTTTAGCACAAATAACAGTGAGTTTTTAAATTACGTTTGTCAACTAAAATAGTAGTTATTAATTTTCTATCTTCATCCTTTTTTTAATTTTATTTTTTCTTCACACTTAATCAACTTCAACTTGACAGCTTCAGGTTATTCAAACTAAACTGATACTCCTTACTGCCTCTTCAATATCATGTTGAAAATCCCACTAAGCAATTTTAAGTGTAGTTGAGTGTAGTTTTTATTGCTTTAAACTACAACCAGCTTATTTACTCCAACATGCTGCCTGGCATCAGTTCTCACCTCTGAATAGTGACACACCTGTTAAGACTAGAAAGGTCTCCTTTTAAAGATAACTTATATTCGATTAAACTAATGCATAGCCTTTTATGACTTAAGGTTACCATTTTGAACATCACTGCAGCATAAAAACCAAACTACTCTCAGGGTCTTCTTAATAAAAGAATGCCTCCTAAGCTTCAGCTCCGTCTTCCATTACATACTTTATATTTCCTGGCTTTCCCTCTTAAAACTACTCTTTTTCAAAAAAAAACAAAAAAAAAAACAAAAAAAAAAGCTACTTTCTTTTATATTAGTCTTTAAATGGTATCAAAAAGGGCAAGACATTAGCCTGATCACTATATGAATAAGGGGGCAGAAAAACAAAAAGATTCAATTATCACCAAGGACTGAAGGCCGCATTCTCCCATTCCAGTCACCTTCCTTTACAAAGGAAGCTAATAGGCATTTCATCACAATAAGGTAATGACACATCCAGTTTCACCTTAGTCACAGTAACTCTGTATACACTTCCTTCTTCACGCAGTGGACTGAACTTCCTATAAACTTTACCCATAGATAATAAGGGAGTCAAACAAAGTAGGTAAGTGCCCAAGTCTCCGATTGGTATCAATCACAATGAAGTCAAAAGTAACCTGCCCATCCCACCACGGAGGTAAAATGTCACCTCCACTGCCGGGTTTTCCATGGGCATCACACTCCCTTCAATAACAGCAGCTCTCATTTAACACGTTGCGATTCAAGGGTTGCTAGTGGTGGGCTAAGGCCCTCAAGGAAAACCCAGCTCTAGGAGGTTTACTACTTAGTTTGAAAAGTGAATCATCCCTCCAAACCCCCCCCCCCCCATTCCCACTGGCAAGAGTTGCTTCTGTCATCTGACAGAGAACACACCCTTAACCCAGAAGAGTCACACAGTATCAGAAAGCTAGGTATTAAAAAACTCAGGTTAGAACTAGACTTTTTCTCTCTTTTTTGAACTCCATTACCTGCGAATTGAATAAACCCCTAGGGTGGGGCAAAAGTAGGTTCGCAGCTGTTCACACGGAAGATAATACTATAATTAAAAAATCATAATACAAGAATAAGCTCTGTGTTTCACGTACTCACAACTGTAAACCTACTTTTGTCCCACCCTGTACATAAAAAGTTCAACAAGCTCAAGGTTCGGGACACTCACTATACTATCTGAAGAGATAACACATACACACAGAAATAATCAGTGGTTCAAAATTAGATACTTTTTTAAAAAGAGACAGAGTGTGATTACTTGCCAATAGCATAACAGAGACAATGAGAACTAAATTTATAGTGTATCTTTTAGCTAAAGTAGGTTTGGGAAGTTTCACAGAGAAATACTTGAGAATGGCTTTCAAGAAACTACATAAATGGACTAAACAGAAATTAAACATTGTATTTTAGGCTAGTATACGCTTACTTGTTGCCTTCATAAATAACCATAAACTTCTTTATGGCATAACTTTTATCACAACTTCTCCTTCCAGCTCCCTTGCAAAATCTCCATTTTAATCACATCAAACATCTTATAGCTGAGCTCTATAGTTCCCCCAAGTCTTTGCAAAAGCTGATTCCTCTAACACTTTTCCCTTTCCACCTCCTTCGTACCCTCTTTCCTGGCTACCTCCTCCCACTTTTCAGGTTCTTATGTTGACTGGCCTCTAGAAAGTCTTCTTTGATTCTGTAAGTTCATGAAAAATGTTTTGGTTATGCAGTTCCTTAGACTGCTATGTTTCCCCTATCAAAAGTCTTATAAATGACTGTTCGACTGTTTCTCTTGCTAGAATCCTTGAAGTCTGGAGGTTATACCTGCCCTGCTTGTATCTATCTCCACAATGCTTTGCATATAGTAAATATACCACAAAATGTTGAATAAATTTAAAAGTAGTATTTTTCAGGAATTAAAATTATTCTCAAGTAATTTATTTAGGAATGCTTAGTGAAAATAATAACAATTATATACATTTGTAGAATTTAATCAGTCAGTAAGAAAAATGCCAACCCGTATATACCTAAGTGCTCACTTCTTTTTTATTTCTTATATTCTATCTCTGGACGAAGAAATGACAACCTGAGTATGTCTTGGTTTCTTGCAACCACAAGACAAAACTATTATATACCACAATGCACTTTTAAAATCTTGCAGCTTCTTTTGCAGCTATAAAAGCATGTTTTCTTCCTTTGCTTTAATTATTCCTAAACTAAGAAGTCATCTGGGAATTGTCTTTAAAAGAAAGTAGGTAGTTTTTCCTCTACACTCTCACCTCTGGATCACTACAATTGCCCAAGAGGCAGCTGAGCAAAATCCCCCCCCACCACGCCCCTGTAGGAAGGAGGGGGCTCTGTCCTGTGTATAAAAGGAGAACAGAAGAAAACCCATTGATTTGATTCTTCACAGACTCTGATGTGTGTATGATACAGACTCTGAAATTTGTATGGGTACGACATTTGATCTGGCTTTCAGAAAGTAGTCCCCGAGGTAAGAAACAGGATGTAGGGGGACTATGTGGTCGTTATTTCCTTTAAGTGACTAATGATAATCTGTCTCTGATCCAGAACACTTTGTGTGAACATTTTAGAATAACACCAATACAGAGGAATATTAAAAACCCAACACTGTGATCAAATTATATTTCATACTATCTTATAAATTCTAACCCTGTTATATTTGTAACACTCCCTGAATGTAAGATTTTGATAATTCCTTCTAATTACAACCTAGAAACCTCCCAGGTATTCAGGATTTACAGCCACCTAAACTGAAAACGGCTAACTTTTAAAGTACCAGGATCAGTAACTATAAATCATAATTTGAGAGTAACAACTCATGATTATTCTTGCTAACAGCCTTATTTGACAGGTGGAAAAAGAATTAGAAAGGGTTATATGAACTGCTCAACAGCAGGAATACATTTCTAGAACCAAGCTCTCCTGACACAGTCTAGGGTTCTTTTGATTGACAGTATATTGCCAAGCCACTGACCTTATGATGCTGATATATTTTTAATCTGAAAACTATTAAAATCCATTCCTTTACAGAAGCCACATCTCTTTTCTTGAATTGCAAAAAATGTGTTGTCATGCCTAATATTAAATGCAAAGTCCTTCCCCAAGGACTTACCTAACAACTTCAATTGTGATTTGAAAAGATTTTTTTTTCCCACTAGCATTTCTAGATTTTCCTTTTATCATTTTCTCATCCACACATAGCAATTAACCCAGATTTCTGTTAAAAAGTTGAACAGGTACATAAAGAGGCACCAGTTGAACCAGATATTCAAAGCCAGATTAAAAAACACAAACTATTCTGTCCACTGAGTAAGGGCGGTACTTCTACGGAAGACCTGTCCAAACGCACAGCAACCTGGAGGAGGCTTAAAGGAAGAGGCGCTGCCCAGCATCAGGTGATGCACCAGACTGAAGGATCTTCACAGCCTGCCCTTTCGCTCTCAGGAACAGCTATCTCACCAGTTAACTCAAATTTTGATTTTGTATCAGTCACAGGTTATTTAAAAATGGCTGCCAAGGCTCCCCGCGAAGATTGTGACTCAGCCGGTCTGGGGCTGGGCCCAGGGAGCGCGCGTTTGCAGAAGCACCCCCAACCCCCAAGTGCTCCTGGTGCGCACCGAAGTTAAGAGAAGCCCTGGTACAGACGACTCGAATATGTTTGTCCTTCTAGGCCAGGCACTTAAAGCTGTCACACTTTCTCACCCAAACCGGTCCTGCTGGAAAGTGCCTTTGGTAGGAATTCCCCGGAAGAGGGAAAGAGCTGCTTCCCGCACCGGCAATAAAAAGACAGGAGCGAGTAACACTGCCGAATCATTTCGGCTACTCCCACTTCTAAACCCAGGCAGTGTTTTGTAATCTCCACTTGGGAGAGATTTAAATTCCGTCACAGATGCTTTAGACAGGCTCCGAGGCCTTCTCACCTTCCTAGGGCCGGAGAGGGTCGCCCGGGGTGGGCAGAAACGCCGGGTCGGAGAGAAAAGGAAGTGAGGGCTGGAAGGTCGTGTGGTTTTAAGCCCTTCCCTCAACCTTTCCACCTTCCTCCCCTCTCTTCCTGTGACCTTGCCGGGACTCCAAGGCCGCAGCGCTCGCCCTCCCACTCGGTCGATTCCGCTCTCAAGGCTCGGGGCTCCGGGTCCGCTCCGGCCCCAACTCCCACTTCGGGTCATTCATTACTGTCCCACCCGTCAGCGTTCGCTTTCAGCCACGATTCACTGAGCGAGCGTTTGCCCCATCTCCGCATTGGCTCCATATCCCCTCACCGGAGAGGGAGTCAGGCCTGGTTTTTGTACCCCCAACCTCCCGGAAGCACGAGGTCTGGACAGAGCCCCGCCAACTATATACCTCGCCCCCTTCATCCCACCAGGCCTCGCCGCATTCCCAGCCTCGCGGCCCCCAGCCTTCCCAACGTGCTCTCAGCCAAGCCAAGCGTGACCCGACTTACTCCCGTCCCACATTCGGGCGTCCCCCGCCCCCAAGTGCCCCTTTACCCTTAACTTACCGGCTACAGGACCTCTCAAATTCCAGCCCACTTCTGACCTCCGCCCGCGCGCGCCGTCGGGTCTGCTTCTCCCCGTCCCGCCCACAGCCTGTTCCAGCCAATCAGAAGGTAGGTCCCGGACGGTGGGTGGGTGCGTACGTGTGCGTGGTGGGTGGGGCGGCCCGGAGCGGGTCGCGGATTGGATGGGATGACGCGCCGCGGCTCGGGGGTCTGGGCTCTCGCGTGGGGATCGCGTCACAGGCGAGTGCGCGGATTGTGGGGTTTGCGCGAGGGCGCTCGGGAGCCCCTGGCTCCTGGCCCGGCGGTATCTCAGGATTCTCTCGCTCTTCCCTTGCTCCGACAGCGGTGGCGAGCAGTGCGAACGCTGTCTGCGGAGTGCGGGCAGGAAGGAGCAGGGGATGCGGCGTTTCGATCGCGGCGAGTCCTTAGGAGGCGCAGGTGAAGTTGCAGCGCTGTCTCGCCCTTTGGGCGCCGAAGGCGGTGGGAGCGGTCGATGCTTTCCGCCCCCACGGCGAATATCCGTCACGATCGCGCGCTGTCGGGCCGCCGGTGGAGCCCTTCATGGAGCTTACACTTTAGTGGGGGCAGCCATTAATCGCCAGCAACGGGTAGCTGGACCTGTCACCTCACCCAGCTTGGAAGAGATTTCTGAGGAAGAAAGTGTCAGAGGCCCCTTGTGATAGTGACTTTCCGGGGACAGAGGCCCTAATTTGTTCGTAGAATAGATACTAACTGTTGAGCGACTTGATGGCAAGTATCAATGACTCTACGGTGGGAACTATATCTGTGGCTAAATTGGAATGTTTCAGCGTAACCACAAAAACAGGCAGATTGCCACGTGCGCTGTCATACAGTTGGGAACTGAGTGCTGTGGGCTCAGGGTTTTGATCGTCTCATAATTGAGTTAAGACACATGGAGGAAACATTCATGCTATATTCGGTAAATTAAAAACCCCATGCCTTGAGATTGTGTCTGGTTCATGCCAGTGTCTCCTTGAACACTGTTTCTGAGTTTAGTAGGAGTCCAATATTTTTAATGCAGTTAACTGTAGGCCTTCAAAGGTAAGTAGAGGTAATCAATAAGGGACTCATTTAAGGTAATTAAAACGATAAACGAGCCGGACACACTTGAATATGAAAGTAAACTAAAAGTGCCTTCTAGAAACACAAAGGCTAGTAGCAGCAGTGACCGCAGCATATTCATTCCTGAAGGGGATTTATACAAAGCAAAATAATGTTGGCTAATTTGCTTATTTCTAGGAAATGGGATTTGGGTCAGGCAGACCTGAGTCCCTGGTTAACCACATACCACCCATGACCTTGGGCTTTACCTGTCAAAACCACTTTGTTCTCATGGAGGCAATAGTAGTGATGGTTAATGAGGAAATGCATGTAAGGTGTTAGCCCAGTACCTGGCATGCAAAGTTTTAGCTATTGCTTTAAAATTTCCACCCTGGCTGGTGTGGCTTAGTGGATTGGGCACTGGCCTGCAAACCAAAAGGTCGCTGGTTGGATTCCCAGTCAGGGCACATGCCCGGGTTGTGGGCCAGGTCCCCAAGAGGGGGTGTGGGAAATGCAACCACACATTGATGTTTCTCTCCCTCTCTTTCTCCCTCCCTTCCCCTCTCTAAAATAAAAAAATAAATATAAATAAAAATTCCTATGCTATGCATTGTACGGAAAGAGCCTATTTGCATGAGAAATGATGCCTTTCTGATCAGTATGTAGAAAGCCTTGGTAAATGATGATGGTAAATATCTGAAACAATAAGATAATACAGCTCTTTAGTGGAGATTATTCTGCTTCGCTTTATTCCATATCATGTTACAAGAAAACAGCAGCAACAGCGGGAAAAATACTACATCTTTCATAACACAGATATTATAATTGGTAGCAAATCTACAATACGTATTCTCCCATTCTCCTTACTCCGTGTCATTTGAAGTATAATTGATGCATAAGACTTTAACAATTATTTGGGTTCTCATGTATTAAATTCCCCACCTGTAGTGTGTAGAGAGAAAGGCAGCACAGAAGCATCTCTCTGCTCGCTTTGCTAATTTACCCCTCTTTGGAGAGCCTTGGCGATGTTTCATGTTCCAAGTAGCTGTCTGCACATGATCATGTCTCCCATGAGGGAAACGGACTTCTAAACTCAGGTTCCTACGCAGGCAGATGCCCAATTTAAAGCTGCATCACCCTATTTTTTACATCCTTCTTAAAAATATCGTGATTGTTGTGAAATTTTGTCTAAAAGGAATGTTAAACCCTTTGAGAAAATTCATACTATCTACAGGTATTTTAAAACCAGAGTTGGGAGTCCCTTTCAGCAATGACTGGACATGTATATTGTGCCCTCTACTGTGCTGGACTCAGAAGTGAAAAAATTAGTCCCTCCCTGGAATATGTAATTTATAATCTGATTATAGAAGGAATGAGTATAGAAAATATCAAAGACAGTGTATGATAAGTGGAACTTTAGCAGATACGAAGCAAGGAGCTATCAGGCCCCTTTCACTTTTTTAGTTTACACTGTCTCCTACTTTTGTGTCTGTTCATTTCAGTCAACCACGTAAGATGTTTTTTTCCATTAGTAACCAATGGGGCGGTAGGGTTGGTGTGTTTATGTAGTGATATTTTCTTTAGCGAACAAAAATATACTTTGAATATTTTAGTCTCGACTTGATTTTTCCACTGCTGCACTTAGTAGTATTTGTTCTTGTTTTGGGGGGGCAGCAGCATTCTTCTGAACCAGGGCCAAGGAGAAAAAAATGGGGTGGAGTGGGAAGAGGGCCGGCCTGGCGCCCCAGGATTGCCAGTGTGTGTGAAGTCAGAAGGCGTGGATTTGAGTGCTCATTAGCATTATGATCGTGAACAAGTTATTTAGCCTCTAGAAACCTCAGCGTTTTAATCAACAAAATTGGGCTATGAATAAGCACTTTATATGGTTGCATTGTGTAATCTAAATAACCTTGTATAAGACAGTGAGATCAAAATAGCCATGGAAATATAAGATACAGCATAGAGAATATAGTCAATAATATTGTAATACTTGTGTATGATGTCAGGTAGGTACTAGGCTCATGGGGGGGGTCACTTTGTAAGTTATAAAAATGTTTAACAACTATGTTTAGGAGAGAAAAAGTGTACATCTGATCTCTCCATCTTCCCCCTGTTCACTCAACCCACTGGTTTCTATTCGTACCACACTGTGAAAGCTACAATAGCAAAGGACGCAGGTCAACGGACACAACTCAGTTTCTCTGCCCATGTCTTACTTAATTAACTCCTCTATCTTGTTTGCCACCATAAATCTTCCCTTGACACCTTTCCTTTGGTTCTCCTCCAGTCTGGTCATTCTTCCTCACTGTCACTGAATTCACTTCCTCTGTCCCTAAAATATTGGTGTTTTCCAGGATTTTTGTGAAATTTTGTCTACCCTCTTCTTACTCTCTTCTTACTCTCTTCCCTTCTTTTGGGGTGACCTCATGTACCCTTACGGGTTTTTTAGTTTCATCTGTCTGCTGATATTCTCTTCTCTTTCTGCCATACTTTTTGCCTCAGCTCCAAAACTATCCAGGGTGGGGCAAAAAGTAGGTTTACAGTTGTGAATACATGAAACATGGAGTTTATTCATGTGTTATTATTTATTAATTATTGTCTTTGCCGTACCAACAACTGTAAACCGACTTTTGCCCTGCCCTTTATATCCTATTGTGTCAGGTATCCCGCCTCAGTACCCCGCAGAGTCAGTACTGTGTCATAAGGAACTGAATTAATCGTCCTTCTCTTCCTCCTCCTGCTCTGGACCCTCCTCCTCCCCATGAGCTTGCAGTTCCCCCTGAACTCCCCGACTTGGTTGCCGGAGCTGCTGTGCATCCCTCTAACCAACCACGAGACCTGAGCAGATCCCCTGTGCTATTCCTCCGTTTGTCCACATCCGGTCAGTGACATCGGAAAGGAGTTCTGAATGGTGGCGCGTCGGCGCTATGAGGGCCTAGGGGAGGAGCTGTGGCAGAGAGGAGCCTTCCCTCTTGCAGTGCTGTGCTCTGACCATTCTGGCCCACATTTGCCCAATTTCTGTAGTAGGTGAGTTGAGGGGATCCCTTGCACAGGCAAGCACGGAAGTAGATACAATAAGGAAATACGTTGGTATCATTTCAGGCTTGAGACGAGACTGTTTTCACTGACAGTGTTTTCAAACAAAAAGATGTGAAGTTGTGACTGAATGATCTGGGATTCATTGCTCCTCCTAAAAATGCCTTTTTGTTCTTCCCCATAGTTATTTATAGGAGTGAGGGTGGGGGAGTAGCGGAGATGGTGGCCACAGGACTCCCCCGCCATAGCTGAAGCCTCTTTGCCTTGTTTCAAAGGCATTGAGTTTGGGGTTAACAAAACAACCATGTCTTCTTACAAATTTATATACTTTTATATCCCATATATTTTGTTATTAAATGTCTTTCAGTAGAGAATGAGTAGGCAGAATTTGGTCTTTTTCATATGCAGTTTTATGTGGTTTATATCCTGATTTTATAATAGAAATGTTTTAATCATATATCATCTATAGCAGTAAAATGGTTGACTTATTTTTATATTCTGTATTTGTACAGGTTTGGGAGTAGATTACATAGAAACAGAATTGATTACTGGAAGCAAAAGCTTTCTGTTTACCACAGGTGAACAGTTCTTTTTATCAGAAAAGCTAATCATGATTTTCTACCTGGACTCCCTGGCTGGTTCCTAACAGTTGGTATGATGTGGAGTACTTGGTTATGCGTGAATATTGGATTACAAGCGCCCTGGCAGCAAAACCTGTTTCATTTTCACCCACAGCGCCTGGTGGTATTATACACATAGGAGACCTCCAGTAAATACTGGTCCGATGACTCAGGCTGTCTCTTTGCAGAGGCGAGCACCTGAGTTCAGTGACGCTGGCTGCCTGTGGACTCTTGTGCCTTCTTAATTCTCTTGATCACCCTTCTGAAAAGAACCCCTATCTCTTGCCCTCCACTGCTTTGGATACTGATTGCCTCTCTGCTTTCTCACACTCTGTCTCTCCCAACAACGATTTAGGGCTATTTGTA